GGGGGGGTCATAACATAATAACATAATTAAGAATTATGCCCCTGCATCAAGGAAAAAGGCTTCACTCACAAAATGAACTTACTTGCTTTGATCACTAATTCCCTGTAATTATTTATGTCTCGCTTAAAGATATTTTTTCACAGTCGTCTCTCACATTATTGCAGCTGGTTCTGCACTGGTACTATTTTTCATGTAGCTGATCAAAAGCTTGAATCAATGTGATCATTTACAGCAAGTTTCAATAATTTCAGTTGATGTTGGGTGTGGCTTTTGAATCTAGTTTTGTGTACATTCGAGCAGTGGTTTGACATCTTCTGTGCACTTTTTTTTTTCTTTGAAAAGGGAGGAGTGAAAACGGAAATGATCTGATGCATTGGTGCTCGAGGAGATGAGGCTCCTTCCTTGGCTGATGTAAGGGAGAGGTCTTGCTGTGGTTTTGTGGTGCTTAAAAAAATGGTAATGTGAGTGCCTCGCATTATGAAGTTTATAGCTTCTGATTTAGTTGCTCAAAAATAAAAAATACTCACATTTTTCAGTAATGCAAAAAAAAAAAGAAAGAAGAAGGTTCGCTTCTCGTTTCCTTGCTGGTGAGGTCAACCATATAATCTCTAGTCTGAGGTTTGACAAGTGACAAGTATTTTACTGAAGAAGGAAGACACTCGAGAGGGTGTTGTCATTTTCCGGAGAGCACATTTTGTGTAGATATTGATGAACTGTTAACCCTGGCTCTAAACGGTATTATCTTGCATGAAATTATAATGATGTTTCCATTCAAGGTTTGTCACATGAAGCAGACATGGTGTGAATTTTGACTTGTTTTTAGAATAATCGTGGTATGCTGTTCCAATCAATGTCATTTTTGAGAAAAGACGAATAGTTTTAGTTGGAATAGTTGCATGGATTTATATTTGCTGTGTAAAGTGTTTGTTTTTTACTATATAAAAAATAACTCTCTAATTGCTCCCCACCTTCTATAAAAACACAAAATCATTATTTTTATATACACTAAATTTGTATGTATGCTAAATATTTGCTTGAAAGGTTAAAACCCATTTACAACTGCACTGAATAACACTGATCCTGCGTTTGTAATTTAATGTTTTGCTGGGAAAGCCTATGTTAAAGTACCATCCTAAACTTTGTGGCATAATATTATTGATAATAGCAGGCAGGTGCTTTCCTCTGTGGTATAAGCTCATGGAAGCCACACCCTACAACTCATGGGTCTCAAAGGATTTGATACCAACATCCAGATGTTCAGCGGCAGGACAACCTCAGGGGTTGACAGGTCAAAGAATCTTCAGTGGCTTTAAGTAGATGTGCCCACTTCCAGACTAGTGGTTTTAATGAGTGTGATTAAAATGTATATCTAGACACTTAATGTTGTAAATCATCTAGCACATACACCACAATGCCAGACATTATAGAAAATTAAAAATGAGAACATTGTAGGACAAACTGAACTATTTAGATGTAAAAATCTGGAGAACTTGAGCCTTGAAAAAGTAAAACTCTTAACTCATATATGTTACTGGCTAAGATATGTCAGATTAACATGACTGTTTACAATATAGTGTCTTTGTTTCACTTTTGTAGATCTGTATTTTTTTTCTTAGCATTACTGAAGAAAAAAACAAATCAAAAATCTTATAGCTAACTCTATTTTTTCATTTAAAAAAAAGGTAAAGAATAAGCCAGGATTAAGATAGTCTAAGCATCATGGTTTGATATTTTGCGCAACATATAATCTAAAAGATCGTAATACTTGAAGTTTTATCTTTACTAACTTGTTGTGAGACTGTTGAAAGAATGGTGAAACAGTTCCTTTCCGGTCCTGTGGCCTCCGTCATGTAAATGCATTGCTCAACTTCCCATTTCAGCCTGCTGTTGTGCATGCATTTATCAAGCAGTTTCTGGCTTGAATTTTTCTAATCAAACCATGAAGAATTTGGCAACTTGTTGACAGGATTGTCATTGTTTTTATCACTAAAGTAAAATTTTAAGTAACTGATGGTATTTGTGCAAATTTGCACAAAATGACAGACCATTAGACTCTGACTGAGGGTCTAACGGTCTTTCTAACGTTCAGCTCTTTCTTCTCACTTGACAAATAGCTTTATATATATTATAGATATACCTAGAGAGTATAAGAAATGAAGTAAAGTACATATTGGAGTCTATATTAGAGCAAAGTAAATTTCCAAAGAGTGAAAGACCAGTCACTTTCAAACTTGGGTTATTACTTTAACAATGTAACAATGTAAAATGAAAGCTGATTTGATACGTGTTTTTTGTGATCCTCTTAATCACTTACTTACTTGCGCAATCGCCCTTACATATACAAACCAAAACTTTGTGCAAAATCTGCCTGATTTCATATCCAGTAAGGGTGTATGGCGTGTCATGCTCTCACTCACCAGAACCGTGTTGAAGCGCTCCTCCAGCTCCTTCTCTGGTGGCATGGGAAGTTTGGGTTGAGGAGGCTGCTTTTTTTGCAAGGTTGGTGCAGAGTCATTCATTGCTGAAGCTGCACTGACTGAGTTTCTGGCCTCTCGACCTTCGGCCGGTTCATGCTCCAATCCCCCACCAGCCGCATTCCCCATCACTAATCTCCACAAGTAATCCAGGGGGACTGATTTACGCAAACTGTTTCCTCCAGGAAATCACCGTATCCACAAGCAAAGTGACAAAAGATGGTCACTTTGAATTACAATAGCAAAAAGGCCTAATCAAACCAAGTCTAGGGCCTCTAGGGCAGTCTACATTAATTCTCAGCTTTACAAAATCCGCCTCACACCCGAGGACAGGGTGGGCAATGAAAAAAGAAAGTTTATCCTCATGGCCCCCTTCTCCTTAAGTTGTCTTCAAGTTCCTTTTGAAAATGAGGTGATAAGTCCTGTTAAGGCCTGTTAGAAAGAAAAGTCCACCTATGCCTCGTGCACTGTTGTCTACATTAGTTGACCGAGAACTCCCTTAAATAGTTTAGTACCGAAGCCTGCGCGTGAGAGGAAGGCGGGCGAGGAGTGTGACACAGTCAGAAACCACAGAAGCACAAAAGCAGAAGAGTAACTTCCTGTGCACGACAGCTATAGAACCTGGGGCGGAGGACATGGTGGAAGATAAACACGTAACCATGCAGTAGGTGGGTGATGATAAAGAAAAGATACTACAGGAATGAAGGAGAGCAGACTCTGTCCAGATTTGATGTAAGATTAACAGATGTCGATTTAGATGTAAATCAACTACACAATTAAAGGAAACTTTGCAACATTTCACAAAGAAACCACCTTTTTGTACTAGATTTAGTCATTTTACTGATGTCAGCTTGACATGAGTCAAGGGTTACATTTGTTTTGGTATTTTCCCTTCATGTGGTGGTTTAATCCAGACAGGTAACGGTGGTTTCAGCATGACAAGAATTGTCAAACAACACCCCTCTGTGGGTGAAGATGACTACTGCATCTAGTAAGATCTATCCAGTGGGAATTACTTAAATTACTGAGCCTTTCGTTGGCTCATTCTTTTCCTCAATAGAAATCACAAAAACGTCTTAAATTACTAAGTTTATCACAGATGCATTTCTTCGAGAAAGTGAAAATTATTAGCTCTGATGCAACAGGATATTCATTTTCAAAGCTTTCTGAGACTCACGGGAAGGCAACCGTGTTATCAGCTGAGTGAAAAGAAAAGATCAAAAGAGAAGATTGGAGAGGTGTTTAGACATCTGGGAAATGCTGGGGAAAAATCATCAAAAGGATAAAGCTAATCATTTACTTACAGGTGTAACGGTGGAGCACAGGTATTGAAGTAAAGTGAGTTTAAATACTTAGTAAGTACACAAGATACCTGAAGAAGAGGACTGACGCAAGTTTCAGGGGTGATTTGTGACAGGAAGATAGCTGCAAAAATGAGATAGGAAATGTTATCGCTAAAAAAAGAGATAAGCAGACCTGGAGGTGGCAGAGTTGAAGATGCTAAGATTTTCACTGGCCATGATGAACAAGATTAGAGAGCAGTTGAAAGAAAGCAGATTTATTTAAGTGTTTAAGAGACAAAGAACTGATAAAAAATATTATTTTAGTTTTCCTCTCTTACTATATACTCCTTCTGTTTGTTTGGTTTTTCTTTTCAATACAGTCTTTCTGTGACATAAAACCTACATTTTATGCGGTCAGTCACTGCAGTATTACTTTCAAACCATGGGGTGGCGTTTTCAAGAACAGTTACAATTCACTACCATGGTGCACAGAAGAAGAAATTCGTCGCATTCCAAAATGACGGACCCGACAACATCTCCAGAGGACCAGTGGAAAGTGAGTAACTGCTATCAGAAACCTGTTTTTTGGTTTCAAATGACTCATGTGTTAGGCGTATGGCAGCACTGGCAAATGGCAAAAGCTGTGCTGTCTTAAAGTTGAAGCTTTAGTAAAGTGCAGGGAGTACACGGTTTGTTAGCTCCGTGGCTAACTAACGTTAGCATCCGAGGTTTTGATAACCTTAGAAAGCTGTATTGGTTAGCTAACCAATTGCCTACTTATGTAAACAAATCAGCCATTGTTCCCCCTATGGTGTATACAACATGTCTTCACCTACACACGCAAAGTTAAATAAAAGAAAAAAGGTCTGAGTAGCTGCTTGTTTCTTGCAAATCTACAGTGCAGCATCAGTGTTTGTGAAGCTCACATTACCTTGTCTGATAGGCTACTATATACTGTATATAATTAATTACCAGACCACAGAAATTGAAATTGTCTTCGTTCCACCGACTCCTTAATATGGAGTCTGTGGAAATAAAATAAATAATTAAAAATAATTAACATGTGTTCAGGGCCCCCATTTTAAAAAAATATGTCTCTAAAATAAATTGGGTATAGCAATTTTACAGTACGTAAGTAAACATGTAGTAGGATCTATTGTTTAAACTTAACGTATATTCATTTTCCCCCCTCCTGAGCTTTTGAGACTTTGGAAACCACAAATTAGACAGCTGTGCCCTACATCAAACAATAGTTCTGTGATGAAGGCTCTTATTTTCTACAGCTTTTTACCCACCTGTTTTCCTGAATTGGACAAATCAGGGCAATGCTCAGTGGGGGCTTAACTGGCTGGCTATTGCTCTTTTGTCAAACAAATGTAGGGCAGCACAGCGTTTTCCCTTGTCATTAGCTGCACAGCCTCTTATTTTTTTTTGCCTTTTTCTGTCTTCTGCTCTCTCGTGATGGCTCGGCAGACATCCGATGGTGCTTTCAGCGATGGTGGCTTTGACAACAGTGAGTATTCAGTCAGTTCTTGTGTTGTACTTCATCACCAGTGTAATCTGATCTCTCACATGATACTGATTATAGATGTACATCAAAATATGTTTTGATTTTGTTGTGAGTTATGTTTGATCACTGCTGTCTTGTTGTCTAGGTTATATCTCTGAAGCAATCAGAAAGGGTACTGTAGTGTCCCGGGCCAACAGTATCGGCTCAACAAGTGCCTCTTCAGTGCCAAATACAGGTACTGGGTTTGAATGTTGTATATTTATGTGATAGTTTGATACTAGTAATGTAATTGTAGTGTAGGTTAATTGTTTACTTGTTTAGTTGTTGTAGCCTGAGCCAGTCAGATATTTATTTAAAAAAAAGTTTCATTTTTGTTTATTTAGTGTAAAAGCGAAATACAATGAGACTTAGGCTACGTTCACACTGCAGGTCTTAATGCTCAATTCCGATTTTTTGATCAAATCCGATTTTTTTTGTCTGCTCGTTCACACTACAAATAAAATGCGACAGCAAACGCTCTCTAGTGTGAACGCTCAAAGCGGCCCGCATGCGCAAAAGAAGAACGCGCGCTCTGTTTAGACCCAGAGCAAACTATATTGTTTGACTGATGGCCCTTAATATAAAGACTTCGGACTTCATGTTTCCCAATTTTTGCTTTAAGTTATTAGGTTATTTACATAATAATGTAAATAACCTAATAATGATCCTTATTGCTGATTTAGAGGAGCGGTGCTTCAAAGGATAGCTGCAGATTTCTGTCAGAATCTGCAGGTTATGCAGTACAAATAAAATGTTCACGTTTCTCCAACGTTGTCTTCCCAGCAGTCTCACCGGATGGCCAGGAAGTGTTCGCGATGTCTTCTCGGGCGCTTCTCTGGCGCTGATAATTGGCGTCTGTCTTGTGTCAGTGACGTAAAAGACGGATTTAATGCGACTTGACCGTTCACACAGCAGTCGCTTTCTGAAACATCGGATATGTATCGGATTCAGTACCACATATGAAAGTGACCCAGATCGGATTTGAAAATATCGGATTTGTGCCGTTCACACTGTCACACCATGATCGGATATGGGTCGCATAGGGTCAAAAAAATCGGATTTGATGCGCTTTCGCCTGCAGTGTGAACGTAGCCATAGAGACAGCTTTGCTTATATTTCTCCATGATTTGTACAAAAGGAAAAATCTCTCTTGCTTGTGATTAATAAAAAATATATATTAAGCTTAGCTCTAAAGCTTTTATTTTTATTTATTCCAGAAGTTAGAAAATGTATATGTTACATTAACAAAACAGTAAACATGGCCCTGAAATATGTCTTAAAAAACAAAAACACAGTTTGAATAAATATAAATAAAGATCTAAAAAAAAAAATTGTATTGCTATTCCAGCAGTTAATTTTCATATTTATTTTACTCTATTTTGCTGTACAATGTTTTGTGACTGCTTTATACATACAATTTTCTTACTTCCCAAACACAGGGATTGCTGTGTGAGGTAGAAAATATTTCCTATATCATTCCATGTTTAATTATGGAAACATGTGTTTCGTATTTTACAATATTTTCTTAAATTCTTTGAGGGTTTTATGAGATGTTAAATAATAATTTACTTTGTAAATTAAGTGCATCACAGTAATTCATACTGATGAAAAACAATGAGGTTGCCTATATGTGTGAAATGAGTGCCAACACAGGAATGACTCCAGGGTTAATAATCTTGTACAGTTATGAATTGATTTGATCAACTTTTTAAAAATAGCTACCTCAGCATTTTGTAAGTTGGCTAACAAAAACACTGCTAATGTCATGGTTCAGATTTTTATTTTTTCATTAATGAGTATTAATCTATTCCCACATAGATGATGAAGACAGCGACTACAGGCATGAAACATATAAGGACTCGTATAAAGATCGTCGGAGACAAGCACACACACAAGCTGAGCAGAAGCGTAGAGATGCTATTAAAGTAAGGACACACATCTTGAAAGTTGGAGATTTGCTTTAACTTTTTTCAGTAGTTACTAGTTGCTCTCTTTTAACATTAGAAAGGATATGATGACCTCCAGTCAATCGTTCCAACCTGCCAGCAGCAGTCTGAATTTGCGGTGGGAGCACAGAAGATCAGCAAGGCTACTATTCTGCAAAAAAGTAAGATGTGGTCAAACATAACCTTTGTTAACATTTGAACAAACTTGGACTGCCTCTGCTGAGTAACCTTGACTTCAGATTTAGTTTGAGATAATCTATATATTAATTAATACATCTGACATCTTGATAAGAAAAGAGCAATTTTCTATCCTAGTTTATGCTTATGAGCTATGGAAAACAATAGTACTGAACTTGTTTTGTATGGTGCTAGCTTTCATTTAGTTACATCTCACTTGGCCACATTTAACAATAAAAAGAGACGATAGACTAAGTTCAAGGAAGAACAGATACTTCCTGTCTTGCAGGGGCTCCTTTACCCAACAAAAGGGGAAGTAACAGTACCAACACCCTAAGTATAAAGGTTAACTTTCAACAGTGTACCTAAAACTTGTGTATAAGGCAAAAATCCCCAACTGACGATTTCTTGGTTGTTGTTGTGTTGTTTTTTTGGTTTTTTTTTTTAGCAATTGACTACATCCATTTCCTTCACAAAGAAAAGAAGAAGCAAGAGGAGGAAGTTTCTGTCCTAAGAAAAGAAGTGATGGCGCTTAAGATTATGAAAACGTGAGTGGTTTAAAATTCATAAACCAAACTGCTTTTTCCACATTGTGTACTTCACAGGTCTTCTTTTTTTTGGCAATCTGAGACTTCCCTAAATCCTCTCAACATACCTGCACTGTGTGCAAGTCGCATCTTTTCTCCATCCAGACCGATGGAAAGACAGATTGTAAAAAGAATGCTGGTCTGGGGGCAAAGAAAGAAAACTATGGAGTAGGGAATGCATTGATGTGTGCTTTTATCCATGTTCTCAAAAGAATGACTCAAATTCGTTGTTTATGAAATTATATTACCCCCCCCCCCCCTTTTTTTTATTTTTATTTAAATGTTTTAATAGGAACTATGAGCACATAGTGAAGGCTCACCAGAACAACCCACAGCAGGGAGAGGATCAGGTGTCGGACCAGGTCAAGTTCAACATCTTTCAGAGCATCATGGACTCCCTGTTTCAATCTTTCAGCAACTCTGTTTCAGTGAGCAGCTTCCAAGAACTTTCGGCCTGTGTTTTCAGTTGGATTGAGGAACACTGCAAGCCACAGGTAAGGAGTATGTTTAAAAAACCCATGAGAACTTTATTATTTTGTGTATGTTGAGGTATTTATAGTTTGTTTTCTGCTTATGTTCTTTCCTAGACACTGCGGGAGTTTGTTGTTGGAGTGCTGCGGCAGCTCAACGGTCAGCTTTACTGACTGCACCTGGCCTCTAGTTAACTCCCAAAAATGGACTATTTGAGCTTACTCTGGCCTCTAAGAGTAAAAAAAATGTTGATCAGCCTCAAGCTATGCCACAGTATTTACTCACTTTGACTCATCAGTGACTCCCTGGCTGCAATTTGATTACCTCATCACACGTGGCAGAGGTGAAAGGTGGCATTGGAATGAGCAGATATAAGTTTAATGCAAATCACTTTAAGCTTTGAAATGTACATACATGTTTAACTGAGTGTATTTCAGGATCTTCTGATTGTTATTTGATTTGGGAACCCAGCAGTACAGAAGTCACTGAAAGTGCAGTTTTCAATGTGTCAGGCAGGCAAAATATTGTGTTGAACTAATGGTAATCACCATCTGCAGTAGCCATAGTTGCCCACACTGAGATAAAAAACATGAGGGGAGATTAGATCTTAATAGCGAGAACTCTTCTTACAGATTGAGTGAACTGATGGTAAAGTTTATGGTGCATTTTAAAATAATCAACAGAGAGAAAAGAGGGGAAGGGAACTCATGAGCCAACACGTTCCCCTCTGTCACATCAAGCATGACTTTGTAGCTTAATGCTGAACCAAAGGAGCTGTTTCAGTTTCAGTGGACGAACACTGAGCCACTCCTCAGCTGTAGCAGATAATGGAAACTACTGCAGAGTAACAATCATTGCTAAGCGTGTTATCAGGAAAATGCTATGAGGTCTCAACAATTTATCACTGAGATTTGGCTTGTAATCCGACACATTTTGAGATGTACATAAATGGAGCTGTGACAAGCTGATAAAGTGCTGAAATGTCAAATTATTGTATGTATAAATTTAAATGTCTTTACAGTGTGCCATTTAAAATTTTATAGTTGTCGTATTTCAATTCAATTTGGCTTCAATGGCAGGAAATGTAATGAGTATTCTCTCTCATAATTGAGCTACATCACACTATGAAGCAATGTGTGGTGATCTTTCTGCAACTTTCAGATTTTCCTTTAATCAAAAAGCTTAAAATTTCAGCTTCAGTTGGTCCAAATCCAGCAGAATGAATATTGTTTACTTTTGTTATCAGTGGTTCTCAGTGGCTAAGATGCAGTTCATGCCATGTTGTGTATCAGCCAGAACCTGCTTTTTTTTTTTCTCACCAAAAACTGTCCCTTTGAACTGCAGCAGCCAAGTTCATGCTGTGTGTTGAGATTTACAGCTGCTGTGTGCTGAATTGAGTGAATTTCAAGTAGGTGACAGCTCATTTTAATGAAGGTTTTTTTGTTGTTTCTATAAACATCCTTTCCTGTGTTAGCTGTATTCATGGAAATGTTTTTGTTTTTGTAACTGGCTTAAGTTGTTTCAAGTGTATTAATAATTCTGTTATACAAGCCATGTACACTCAGTGGCCACTTTTAGTTACCCCCCCCCTGTAAAATCCAGTCTGAAATCTGAGCCTTAAATTCTGCTTTATAACATTTTTTTCTTTCTTTAAATGTACACCAGCAGATGGGTGTCATCTATGCATTAATGTAGTTGTGGTGTTGAATGTTGACGTTTTTAATTAACAATCCAAGGAGGTTGAATATTTAAAATAGGTTTTAAATCTGTACCTCTGAGAGAACACTATGTATTTGATTGTATTTAATTTCATAGGTTTGCCTAATAAAGTGGCTACTGAGGGGTTTTTTTGTCATCCAAATTATGTGGAAATGGAGCATCTGTGTATAACAATAACAGGAAAAATCATAAAGCTAGGCAGTGGTTCCCAACTGTGCAGCTAATGCAACTTATTTTATTTATGCTTCACAAGAATTAAACTAAAACAATTGTGGCGCTTCAGCATCAGAATTTATGGTCTTGACCATTTAATAAGCAGAAAACAGTGCAACTGTAATTCAAAAACATAGATATATACATTATACATTTTAATTTATGCTTTCAGAAAATAAAAGCAAGATGGAGTTGAACAAGAACAGATTTTAAACATTTAAATAAAGCCTTGACATTTTCACTGGAAAGCTCAGGATTGGTTAAATCTGTTTAAAAGGGAAAATTTAAACCAGCGTTGCCTTTGAGGTGAAGAGCATGACTGTGTTGTCAATTGATGTGAAAGTCTTAAGAGTTTCACAAGCAACAAAGCAGTTTTTTAAAAAAAAAAAACTTCAAGTAAGAAACTTTTTTTCAATTAAAGCATTTATTAAAGTTGAACTATCTATTCAAAAAAAAAGGGCCATAAATAAAGTATTCTCTGGGCTTCAGATTGCTTTCCTGTGTAATCCATTTGCTTAGATTAGTGGCAAGGTGACTGTAAAAGAACTTTCTTGTTCAAGTATTTGGAGGAACTACTTTACAGTCCTCATCAGTCTCCACTCCAACTTCTTCCTGTGAGGAAGCAGAATATTGCAGGTAATAGCAAGAACTATTTTATTCTTAAAAAAAGATTTTTTTTTTTTTTTAGTGTCTTAAACTCACCAGGAACTCCTTTTTGCTCTTTGGATAACCCTCGAGGATTGCATTTGTCATGTCTGAAGCCTAACACAAACAAGGTGCCAAACACTTTAATAACATATCCATATGCAGTTTCACTCACACTGATGAAAGGGATTGTACGGCATTTTTTTAAATACATGGCATGCAATACGAAACATGAGCTACGAATACAAAAAGGAACTTAAGTGAAAAAGATTACCAGTCTCTTCCTCTTTTTCCACTCTTTAATGTACAGATCTCGTTCTTTATAAACCTGCAAATTAAAAAAAAAAAAAAAATATATATAAGCAGCTGGATAGCGTAGTGGTAAGGTTACACACCTTTGGAGCAGGAGTGGCAAGTTCGATACCCAACATCCACGTTGCAGGTCCAACGTTCGGAAGAAGGGACTGCTCTCACAGTTAGAGATTGATGAGGTACAAAAAAAATGCTATGGCAAGGGGGAGCCAGTACAACAGGTTGGGGGGGGGGAGATATCATTATCACCCCCACCAGAGATTGGGTACCAAGCCCCAAGTGTGCCAGAAGAAGGATTGTTGAGTGCAAGAGATCATGGCAAGCTGGATCCTCCGTTACCAAGACTACGTGAAGTACCCCGAGAGGCTTTACTAGATGATGTGAATGCAGCACTATGCCGCCACCATTACCGAGACTAACAAGCTGATCTACAGTGAAATGAGATGTTAAACAGCCACATGGGAGCAGTACCCTACTCTGTAGGAAAAAAAACCCAGCCCCATCCAAGGTCAATAACAGTATATGCACAGTTGACTCATGAATCATTAAGATTTTTATGACACTGTGGAAGACAGAGGACAACTGAAGGCTGTAGACCATGGTACTCAAACAGGGAGAAGGGACAGCGAGATGGGGATTCATTGGCAAATGGGTGCGATGACATAGCCTAGTTCCATAATTAAAATTTTACTGAAACGTGTGAATATGACAAATATGGAAAAAAAAAAAAAAGTCGGTAAGGGGGAAATACTTTTTCACAGCATTTATAAATAAGAGAGGCCATGGGACAGATCCCTGGTGGATTTCTCACCTTGTCCTTCTCCTCTGGCGTGATGTGATTTGAGGCCGACTTTATCTTCTCCAGTCGGGCTCTGTACCCAGAACACTCTGCTTTTAGCTCCTGGATCTCTGACACCATTTCCTCTGTTGTAAGGGAGCTGTTTAGCTCCTTCAGTTCTGTCATCACAGATTTCACACAATTTTACAGAACATCCCCTTTCAAACATATGCAGTAGAACAAAAACAACACGTGTAGAGAAAAGAGAAGTGGGGACAAGCCTCATCGTAAACTGTTTACTGTATCAAACAGCCACATCTTGTGGCTTAACAGTGCGCAAAATCTGAGAAGATAGTGTCAGTGATTAGCAGAAAATGTCACCTGCATCCAGCTGCCTGCAGCTCTGGGTAAGGGATTGCACCTCTTCACTGAGCTCTGAGATCTGATGGTCCATTGCCTTCAGGTCTGCATCGTTCACATCTTTGAACTGAGCCTGTGGGACAGATTGAGTTATTCCGGTTACTTATAAATGATATGTGCATAATATTCCAGACAAACAGACTAACCTGGTCAGCAAAATAAATCTTTTGCTTGCCATATATTTTCTCCTTTATCTTGCCTTCCAGGGCCAGCAGCTCCATGGCTTTGACCACTGCCTGTTGGGAGAAATGTGTAAAAAACACTTAGTTGTAGGCTATGAAAAACAGGTTAATTTTAGGCATCTAATTGTCTCATTGAAGTGTTAAACTCGCCGTTTTGCCCAGACCATGTTGCTTTTGTAAATTAGAGAAGACATCCTGAGCGCTATAGGGCCGGTTCTTCTCATTTAGGTAGGCAAGGATGACGCCCGCCCCTGTGAATGACAGCAGGACAAGTTTAACGTTTATCTAAACTTACCATAACGTTACACTTAACTTATACTAGAAGTAGATTTTCATGATTATGTTCATATCTAATAGTGTAATATCGCTGGCCACAATCATCATCCTAATCTATTTTAATATAAATATGATTCCCCTCCTTAAAACAAGTATATCGTTTGGAAAAGTGGAAGAAGAAGAAAAACACGGAGCTCGTCTCAGCTAACGCTAGCTTGTAGCCGTTTGGCTAAACGTTTCCTTTTATCTGTGACTTTTAACAATCGTCGTTCGCTCAGTGCAAGCGACTGACAAGCCATCTAACTTGTTATAGCCTAGAATATAAACTTTTTACCTACCGTTATCTTTTTTACTCATTTCCAACTACTCCACTTTAGCTTTCCAGATCCGAGTTTCGCGCAAAACGTACGTCACGGAAAAGATCGTTCATGCTAAAGATGCAACACACCAGCACAAAATCCGTCTTCTGCCTTCGCGTTTGAGCGCCCCTCTGTTAATTCTGCCCCAAAAGTTATTAAGTATGACAGGTTGAAAGTATCTCAATGGTTCTTTTACTTAAATTATTTTATGTTTAGTAGAACTTTATCTCCTTCTTCATTCCATGTCGTTAGCGATATCCCGAAAAAAAGTAGAGTGACACCTCTTTTTATTTGGCTGTTCTCAGAAGCAGTCAATTCAGTCCAAAACCTAACCTGTTCCCGGACGCAAATATTTATTCAGCTAATCACATGGTACCAACTCATACATGAAGACATGTGGACATGGTCGAGATGACCTGCTGACGTTCAAACAAAGCATCACAATGAGGGAAAAAAGGAGATTTGGATGACTTTGAACGTGGCATGGTTGTTGGTCTGAGAATCTTAGACACTGCTGACCTACTGGAATTTTCCCTCACAACCATATTTTGGGGTTTACTGAGAATGATCAGAAAAGAGTTGCTGCAATTCTCTGGGTGAAAATGTCTCAATGTCAGAGGAGAATGACCAGGGCGCAATAAACAAGATATACAGAAGAGCATCTCTAAATGTTGAACTTTGAAGAAAGATGGGCTACAGAAGAAAATCTTACTGGGTATCTCATCAAATTAAAAGGTTAGAAAAACGTTGCCTGGTCTGGTGGGTCTCAATTTGTGCTGTAACATTCAGATGGTAGGATCAGAATTTGATCTAAACATTAAAACAAATGTTGGTGCTGGTGGTGATATCATGTGTGGCATATTTTCTAGGCACAGTTTGGGCTGCTTAACCCTAGAACACTATCGCAATAAACAGTAACACAATCACTACTGCCAGGTGATATTTACCCATTATATAATAAGATCAACAAAAAGTATGTCATCAAAATATATCAAAATATCACAACATGACAAACTAGTGTGGTCTTCTTTTATTTTCAACTGTGCCATGTCTAACAAAATGAAAACAAACGTGTCACGGGGGGACCCTAAAATAATGCTAGAAAACAGAAAAATTAGGAATTCAAGAACAAAAAAATTCCTAAACAAAAAAATAATGACACTGAAAAGGTGGTCTTTGGTCCACCCTTTCCTGGGACATTTGAGACTTCCCTGGTAAAGGCACAGTCTCCTCGACGTGCTAAAAGCTGCAGCAGAGAGAAATCATGTAAATGTATTTGCGCAGATGAAAATCACCCAGCAAAAGTGTTCTAGGGTTAATGCTGAGCATTGTTTAAATGCCACAGCCAACCTGTGTATTGTTGGTGACCATGTCTATCACCTTATGACCACAATGGCAATGAGTCAACTGTACTTTAAATGGCCAACAGGACACCTTTGACATGTGACCAAATGTGACACAAAATGTTTTTATTATCCAAAGACTGCTTCAGAGAAATCAAATTCCCTTGCAGCTCTTTAAAGTCCACAGCTATGATGATCCATCTAAAACGGAATAAAACACAAATGTCAAATTAGGCCGTGACTGGTTTTCTAGTTGTTCCAGAGCTTTTCGGTATTAAATGAAGTACATCTGAATTGCCTTAAGAGCACCTTTGATAAACAGAGAGACAGTTAATTGCAAACATTTTATTTAATATGATTTGCACATCAAAACATATCAAAACCAGTTACACAGAAGGAAATGCACTACTATGCACATTACATTACAAACAGCCTACAAATCCCTCATGATGAGGACTTCTCATAGAACAGCCTACAGAAACATTCTTGTTAACTGATATGGTCAAACCAAGTCCAACTAATTTAGTAACATTTATTTTCTGCAATTTCCCATCAGTTTACATTGTTCTATTTAAATTCTGAATCCAGCAGATTTTTTTCCATACTGTGCTAAAATTGCAGCTACGATTTTCTTCTCAAAATAACACAATTGAAAACAGTGATGTTCTTTTCCTCTATTAAACAACCAACATTTTAACTTTTCATATGTGCATTTCAGTAAATCTCACTTGTGGCTCATGGAAATTTCAAGTGCCATTTCCACTCTAAAACACTATACAGACATGGTTTGTCCATGTATAGGAAATCAGGCCGACCAGCAAAAGCCACTATAAAATAACACTTAAAAAAGATATGAGGTTAACTTCCTATCCAAACTTGATGTAAACAAGGTCGCCTATTAAGATTGTAAAAGAGCCTTGAGAATATAATTTTCTCTCTTAAAAAAAAAAAAAAAAAAAAAAGGTCAGTTTGAAGGTCAACCAGATAGAATACAAGAGTGGTAAGACATAAAGAGACTATTTTAAATTTTTTCTTTAAAAAACAAAAACAAACAAAAAACTGAATCGCAAACAAACCCGAGGGCTCATTCCAGGTATTTAACATGCACACAAGGTAATTGAGCCATTTTAAAGGGCAGGAAAATGGAAAAATAAAATAAAATCAGAAATTACTCACACGCGAAAAAGAAGCATGTTCTGATGTGAGGAACAAATTCATTAACACAAATGTAAAAGAGCTACTTTGGGCCACATAAGACTATTGTGACAAAATAAACTTTGAATGCGTTCCTGTTAGTCAAGAGAAAAGGAAAATAGAAAATGTTGAACTTTATCCAGATATCATTCACCTTCATTGAAAAACATAATCACTGACTAAATATGCAACTGCTGTCAAGTGTTTAAATTGTCTAAATGATTCTCTAAATGAATTCGATGGTGCACCATCAAATTAATCCTCTTCCATCAGATCGTGTTAAAGACAGCCGAGTATCAACATGAACATGAGCTACTACTTATTGAAGGGCTGATACATCCAAATACTGCAATGCCTAAATAAGCTTTTATATAAAAGGCTGTTGCACAATATCAGTACTAAAACATGGCTCAGCTCAACCAAGAGGAATGTCACATTTGGTCCTGTGTTAATAGCCCTGTGTTTCTAGACCTCGATGTAGAAAAGATCTGATGGCCTCTGGCTTTCATTTGAAGTCAACAAGTACTTGTACCTTGCAACTGAGTGGTGTGTAAAGTTACAAGACTGCAAAAAGGCTCAATAATGCTGGTATATTTAATGTTTGAATGTGTTTTATTTATGTTATTGTGTTACCTATTGCTCAGCCTACAAAGTAAAAGTTTTCTGGATGATCACATTTTCAAACTACAGCAAAGAGAGTCTGAAAAGATAGAAAATATGAAATACTTCACAGTGATAAACTGATGCTAATCAGGAGCAAGGGTGCTGGAACCTAAAATCATCTCCCACACACATTCTCATACTTTATCAACACACATTCAAGCTGTGCACACACAGACACACACACCTTACTGTGGTTTACCAAGCAGGCTAGACAAAAAGTTAGACCCCTGGCTCTCTCCCCGTCTAGAACCTGCACCTTCACTGAAGGGATCCAGCTGGTTTAGTTCAGACTGATCCAGCATCTCAAAGTCTTCTCCATCCAAGTCCGTGTCTAGCTCAGAGCTGGACTGCTTGCGATAGCTTCGGTGGGCCCCGGCCCTGGGGGGACCTTCTCTGCGTTGGGCAGCAGGAGGCCGTGGTTGCAGTGCCCCGGCTATTGCTGCCTGGATCATGTTGCTGGCAATGACTCCAGCCAAGTCTCCAGTGATATTAGAGGCAGGTGGCAGGCTGCTAAGAGAAAGTTCAGCATCTAGATCCTCTTGGTCTGAGTCAAGATGAGATTCCACATCCAGCACTGAAGCCCGGTGACTAGCTAGCCCAGACAGACCCAGGCTAGGCAGTCCAATGCTCGTGTCATCATCATCATCCATCAGAGTGGCATCAGGGTTTATGGAGGGGAAGTCTGGGAGGTCCTGGGCAAAGGATTCTTCAGCATCACTATGCCTGTCAAAATCTGGCCGGAATACAGACAGGGAGAAGATCAGAAGCATGAACTAACCAGGAAATCGAGGTAAGAAGTCCGTCTTTTTTGCATACATACCCTCAGAGCCTTCAGTCAGTGGGGTCTGGCCACGTGACAGGTTAAATGTTCCATTGTCAGTATAAGAAACCTCAGCATCAGAATGCTCGGAGTCGGTCAGTGCAAGCTCCTTCGCAACAACAGCATCATCAAACTAAAAGACAAAATGAAATGGTTTAGGCTGTGCTGTGGTGCATTTTTTTAAGATGGCAGTCAAGCTGGTAACTCCGACTCTGACATAAACAGAGAAACATTCTTAGTTTGACTCTCTGCTTGTTTCTCATCCTTTTACCGTCTGCAGGCTTTGCCACAAACACACATTAACACAAAAATAAACAGGTACATTTTGTGACGTTCCTAACCACAACAGGAAATGGTGCTGACGTGCTGCTGTAGCTAACAGTGTGCTGAAAACGCAATAGGTGCAGTGAATGTTTCATCTTTCGTTTCATTTTATAACCTTGTAACCAATACTGTTGACTAACAACAACTCATGTTCACTAAAAGAAAGAAAAAAAAAACCTGGACAGACTTTAAATTTTAATTTATAGAATTGTAAAGACTAAGATTTTTTTCACAAATTCACATTACTCATTATGAACACTTTAAATATAAAAGTTTACTTCTGCTTTAGGAAGCATTTTGTGTATGTTGACATAATTACTAGATCACAATATGAACAAAAACAAAAACTATATTTGAAGACAAATTTCAGGAATGATGTCCCCGACTTTAAACAATAGAAAGGCAGGCATAGTGAGTAACGGTTTGATTAAAATATTAAGAGCTTTAGAAGTGCAACAGCCTTACTGTTGGGCAAAAAGCGGCCAACTCCTCCTCACTGTCACTGGCTTCACCCGAGGATGCACCATGTAGAGGTCTTCGTAGGACTGCAGAGTGGAGTGACCAAGACAACAAATAATTACTGAGTCCAGCTTATTTTAACTGTAGTAGTTAAATACACAGTGTGCAGGACAACCAGTTTTAGAAATGGTTTGTAAAATTAGAACTGATTAACAGATTAATCAACAAACAAAGAAAAAAAAAACACTTTACATCACTATCTCTACTCTGATATTTGCACTTTGGTCTCATTTACTGGAGTGGAAATTGTCTTAACAACAGTTTCATCTCAAACGAATACATTTACATAAAATCCAGTTAGCTGCCAATTCTAGTAAAAATATACACGATACAATTTGGTTTACAACTTACACTGATTGTCAATGGGCTTTAACATCATGTATCCACGAATGCTGAAGTCCAGCCGCTGCAGGACTGGCTCCAGCTTGATGCCAAGATGCTGGAAAAGCTTGTGATAGGCTGCCAGAGGAGT